TTGGGGATTCATTTCTGGCATCTACTCACCTTGTGTGAACATTTGGCTTAGTTTCGTGAAGTTGGATTTTTTGGCCAAAAATCAGTATTTTTCATGACCGCGATTATGGAAAACTTTTCAGATTTGAACCATTTTTGGTAAAAAACTGAAATGTTTGTTTTCTTCCTTGATCCAGACTGTAGTGAGCTGAAATCTCTTGGGGATTCATTTCTGGCATCTACTCACCTTGTGTGAACATTTGGCTTAGTTTCGTGAAGTTGGATTTTTGTCCAAAAATCAGTTTTTTTCATGACCGCGGATATGGAAACTTTTGAGATTTGAACCATTTTTGGTAAAAAACTGAAATGTTTGTTTTTTTCCCTGATCCTGACTGTAGTGAGCTGATATCTTTTGGGGATTCATTTCTGGCATCTACTGACATTGTGTGATTATTTGGCTTAGTTTCGTTAAGTTGGATTTTTTGGCCAAAAATCAGTTTTTTTCATGACCGCGGATATGAAAACTTTTCAGATTTGAACCATTTTTGGTAAAAAACTGAAATGTTTGTTTTCTTCCTGGATCCTGACTGTAGTGAGCTGAAATCTCTTGGGGATTCATTTCTGGCATCTACTCACCTTGTGTGAACATTTGGGTGAGTTTCGTGAAGTTGGATTTTTTGGCCAAAAATCAGTTTTTTTCATGACCGCGGATATGGAAAACTTTTCAGATTTGAACCATTTTTGGTAAAAAACTGAAATGTTTGTTTTCTTCCTGGAACCTGACTGTAGTGAACTGAAATCTCTTGGGGATTCATTTCTGGCATCTACTCACTTTGTGTGAACATTTGGCTTGGTTTCGTGAAGTTGGATTTTTTGGCCAAAAATCAGTTTTTTTCATGACCGCGGATATGGAAAACTTTTCAGATTTGAACCATTTTTGGTAAAAAACTGAAATGTTTGTTTTCTTCCTGAAACCTGACTATAGTGTGCTGAAATCTCTTGGGGATTCATTTCTGGCATCTACTCACCTTGTGTGACCATTTGGGTTAGTTTCGTGAAGTTGGATTTTTTGGCCAAAAATCAGTATTTTTAATGACTGCGGGTATGGAAAACTTTTCAGATTTGAACCATTTTTGGTAAAAAACTGAAATATTTGTTTTTTCCCGGATCCTGACTGTAGTGAGCTGAAATCTCTTGGGGATTCATTTCTGGCATCCACTCACCTTGTGTGATTATTTTGCTTAGTTTCGTGAAGTTGGATTTTTTGGCCAAAAATCAGTTTTTTTCATGACCGCGGATATGGAAAACTTTTCAGATTTGAACCATTTTTGGTAAAAAACTGAAATGTTTGTTTTCTTCCTGGATCCTGACTGTAGTGAGCTGAAATCTCTTGGGGATTCATTTCTGGCATCTACTCACCTTGTGTGAACATTTGGGTTAATTTCGTGAAGTTGGATTTTTTGGCCAAAAATCAGTTTTTTTCATGACCGCGGATATGGAAAACTTTTCAGATTTGAACCATTTTTGGTAAAAAACTGAAATGTTTGTTTTTTTACCAGATCCTGACTGTAGTGAGCTGAAATCTCTTGGGGAATCATTTCTGGCATCCACTCACCTTGTGTGAACATTTGGCTAAGTTTCGTGAAGTTGGAATTTTTGGCCAAAATCAGTTTTTTTCATGACCGCGGATATGGAAAACTTTTCAGATTTGAACCAATTTTGGTAAAAAACTGAAATATTTGTTTTTTTCCCGGATCCTGACTGTAGCGAGCTGAAAACTCTTGGGAATTCATATCTTGCATCTACTCACCTTGTGTGATTATTTGGCTTAGTTTCGTGAAGTTGGATTTTTTGGCCAAAAATCAGTATTTTTCATGACCGCGGATATGGAAAACTTTTCAGATTTGAACCATTTTTGGTAAAAAACTGAAATGTTTGTTTTCTTCCTGAAACCTGACTATAGTGTGCTGAAATCTCTTGGGGATTCATTTCTGGCATCTACTCACCTTGTGTGACCATTTGGGTTAGTTTCGTGAAGTTGGATTTTTTGGCCAAAAATCAGTATTTTTAATGACTGCGGATATGGAAAACTTTTCAGATTTGAACCATTTTTGGTAAAAAACTGAAATATTTGTTTTTTCCCGGATCCTGACTGTAGTGAGCTGAAATCTCTTGGGGATTCATTTCTGGCATCCACTCACCTTGTGTGATTATTTTGCTTAGTTTCGTGAAGTTGGATTTTTTGGCCAAAAATCAGTTTTTTTCATGACCGCGGATATGGAAAACTTTTCAGATTTGAACCATTTTTGGTAAAAAACTGAAATGTTTGTTTTCTTCCTGGATCCTGACTGTAGTGAGCTGAAATCTCTTGGGGATTCATTTTTGGCATCTACTCACCTTGTGTGATTATTTGGCTTAGTTTTGTGAAGTTGGATTTTTTGGCCAAAAATCAGTTTTTTCATGACCGCGGATATGGAAAAGTTTTTAGATTTGAACCATTTTTGGTAAAAAACTGAAATGTTTGTTTTCTTCCTGAAACCTGACTATAGTGTGCTGAAATCTCTTGGGGATTCATTTCTGGCATCTACTCACCTTGTGTGAACATTTGGCTTAGTTTCGTGAAGTTGGATTTTTTGGCCAAAAATCAGTTTTTTTCATGACCGCGGATATGGAAAACTTTTCAGATTGAGACCATTTCTGATAAAAAAATGAAATGTCTGTTTTCTTCCCGGATCCTGACTGTAGTGTGCTGAAATCTCTTGGGGATTCATTTCTGGCATCTACTCACCTTGTGTGATTATTTGGCTTAGTTTCGTGAAGTTGGATTTTTTGGCCAAAAATCAGTTTTTTTCATGACCGCGGATATGGAAAACTTTTCAGATTTGAACCAATTTTGGTAAAAAACTGAAATATTTGTTTTTTCCCGGATCCTGACTGTAGCGAGCTGAAAACTCTTGGGAATTCATTTCTGGCATCTACTCACCTTGTGTGATTATTTGGCTTAGTTTCGTGAAGTTGGATTTTTTGGCCAAAAATCAGTATTTTTCATGACCGCGGATATGGAAAACTTTTCAGATTGGAACCATTTTTGGTAAAAAACTGAAATGTTTTTTTTTTTACCAGATCCTGACTGTAGTGAGCTGAAATCTCTTGGGGATTCATTTCTGGCATCCACTCACCTTGTGTGATTATTTTGCTTAGTTTCGTGAAGTTGGATTTTTTGGCCAAAAATCAGTTTTTTTCATGACCGCGGATATGGAAAACTTTTCAGATTTGAACCATTTTTGGTAAAAAACTGAAATGTTTGTTTTCTTCCTGGATCCTGACTGTAGTGAGCTGAAATCTCTTGGGGATTCATTTCTGGCATCTACTCACCTTGTGTGAACATTTGGCTAAGTTTCGTGAAGTTGGAATTTTTGGCCAAAAATCAGTATTTTTCATGACCGCGGATATGGAAAACTTTTCAGATTGGAACCATTTTTGGTAAAAAACTGAAATATTTGTTTTTTCCCGGATCCTGACTGTAGCGAGCTGAAAACTCTTGGGAATTCATTTCTGGCATCTACTCACCTTGTGTGATTATTTGGGTTAGTTTCGTGAAGTTGGATTTTTTGGCCAAAAATCAGTATTTTTAATGACTGCGGATATGGAAAACTTTTCAGATTTGAACCATTTTTGGTAAAAAACTGAAATATTTGTTTTTTTCCCGGATCCTGACTGTAGTGAGCTGAAATCTCTTGGGGATTCATTTCTGGCATCCACTCACCTTGTGTGATTATTTGGCTTAGTTTCGTGAAGTTGGATTTTTTGGCCAAAAATCAGTTTTTTTCATGACCGCGGATATGGAAAACTTTTCAGATTTGAACCATTTTTGGTAAAAAACTGAAATGTTTGTTTTCTTCCTGGATCCTGACTGTAGTGAGCTGAAATCTCTTGGGGATTCATTTTTGGCATCTACTCACCTTGTGTGATTATTTGGCTTAGTTTTGTGAAGTTGGATTTTTTGGCCAAAAATCAGTTTTTTCATGACCGCGGATATGGAAAAGTTTTTAGATTTGAACCAATTTTGGTAAAAAACTGAAATGTTTGTTTTCTTCCTGAAACCTGACTATAGTGTGCTGAAATCTCTTGGGGATTCATTTCTGGCATCTACTCACCTTGTGTGAACATTTGGCTTAGTTTCGTGAAGTTGGATTTTTTGGCCAAAAATCAGTTTTTTTCATGACCGCGGATATGGAAAACTTTTCAGATTGAGACCATTTCTGATAAAAAAATGAAATGTCTGTTTTCTTCCCGGAACCTGACTGTAGTGTGCTGAAATCTCTTGGGGATTCATTTCTGGCATCTACTCACCTTGTGTGATTATTTGGGTTAGTTTCGTGAAGTTTGATTTTTTTGCCAAAAATCTGGATTTTTAATGACTGCGGATATAGAAACCTTTTTAGATTGAGAACATTTCTGATAAAAAAAGGAAATGTTTGTTTTCTTCCCGGATCCTGTTGGTAGTGAGCTGAAATCTCTTGGGGATTCATTCCTGACATCTACTTACCCTGTGTGAACATTTGGCTTAGTTTCGTGAAGTTGGATTTTTTGGCCAAAAATCAGTTTTTTTCATGACCGCGGATATGGAAAACTTTTCAGATTTGAACCATTTTTTGGTATTAATGAAACTACTCCATTAATAAGATTTTTCGTCGGGTTGATGTAGATCAAATATGGTTTTGCCCTTCACCGAGGTATAAACCTTGTTTACTCAGTGTGTTACCTCCCGAGTGAAAGTTGGAAAATATCACTCAGGTGGGACTCGAACCCACGACCTCCTGCTTTCTAGTGCAGATGTCTTACCACTTGACCACTGAGCTAACGGGATCGGTTGGCTGGTTCGAATCTGAAAATTGTCCAAAATGTTTCTTGACATATTCATCAGTTTATCATTGTTTCAACTCCATTTGTAGCATTTTCCCATTTCTATCTGTGTAATCCTTAATGTTTTTCTGTTCCTTTTTTTAACGGCTCAGGTGTCAAATATCTCTGAAGTAACAAGTCTCTTAAGAGCATGCATACAACACCCTGCCATGGTAGTCTGCAATATCAACGACACTGGGGTTACCAGTCAGGAACCAACTACACCAAGTACCGGTATGTACACAAGTAATTATCATGAGATGTGAAGGTTTGCATGGTGGAAAGATACTAAGACAAGATCAGTTTGCAGTAGCACCATGTGAATAAATCTCTTTTGTGAGTATGTGTGGTTCTGAGTCCCTCCGGGTCTCTCAGAACCACACATACTCACAAAAGAGATTTATTCACATGGTGCTACCGTAAACTTATCTTGTCTAAGTAGTTATCAGTTCGACAAAATATAATTTTGGACTAGGGCCTTCCCGAATACACTGAATATTCAAATATCCGATCATCAACTGAATAGTCGAGTAACTTTTTGCTGGTTTGAATATTCAAAAACAAAAAAATTATGCACATACACACACGGCTGTGATGTTACTTTATCATAAAGTTGCGGCGGTTTATTGTCAGGTGCTACTTTTTTTTCGTCGACGGTAACTTTTTTTTTGGTCGACAGTGGTTCATTGTTTCTATCCTTTTAGCAGGTTTAAGCCTTTGACAGTTAACATACTTACTGCAAAACACTCCATATCGAACGCTGCATGCACATTTTAACTGACGTGCTCTGCATGCAACTTTTGATTGGTGCGGCACGCATTTGTAGCTGGCAGTTACAAATAATCCAAATATTTGGCCAAACACAGTTGCTAGTAATCGAATACTAAATTATTCGAAAACGGACAGCCCTTAGTAAAACATACCATTATATCAGTTGGATTGGATTGATTTTGTGTCAGTTATTCATGGAGAAATCAGATGTTTTCAAATGCAGAGTCCTACTTGTCAAATCGTAATTTCTTTCTATCATGTTAATGATATCAATGTCAGGTTGAACGATGAAATCAACTAGAGCACGATCCTGTTTAGGTCAGCTTCTTGGTACAACCTAATTTTGCTTGAAATTGAATCTGTTTGTGATCCTGTAAAAAAAAGCATTAGACGGTTGTAGTGTTTGAAGATCTCATTTTGAGTGATTTTTCTCTGATTTCCTCAGGCACGGATGTTTTATCCGACAGCGCTATCAGGAGCAACTTTACCTCACTGGGCGTGGCCAACTGTTCACTGAGCGACGACATCATCGCAGCCTTGGCCAATCAGCTGCCTGGATCACTACCAAACCTGTCTGAACTGGATCTGACCGGAAACGGTGCAGTGACAGCAGACGCACTTCCTTTCCTTATGTCGCTCATTGGAGCAAGTAAGTGTGGAGCACTACATTTATCACAGTTTTTAATAACTCTTTGAAAATAAATAAGCCGTGGATTGGCTATTAGCATATTTGTTTGCATTTTGCATAAAATGTCATCAAGCTAGAAGTCTTGCTAATTATCTGTTTTTATGGTAAAGTCGGCAGTTCTTATGATCTGTGAATTTTTATCTAAAATGTATTAAACCCATGTCCATACACTATGCTCCATGCAATCTAAATGAAGTAAACAAAAAGGACATGCACATGGAGTTGGCAAAAATCTGTCTTATTAGACCTAGCTTCCTTGTGAAATTAACAAATTCAGGTAGTCTCTATTTTCCCCCCTAATTATGTTGATTACTGTAGGTGATCATGCAAGTGGATTACAGACCCTTCGCCTAGGATCCCTCAGCACCAACAGTCTCCCGTCCATTATACAAGGCTCCACAGTGACCTGGGGTAACCTCAAAAGCCTTGACCTCCGCCGGGTCAAGATGACCCCAGTGGAGGTGGGAAGCTTGGGGGCACTGTGCACTAGACCGTCGGGTCTTGTCGATCTGTGCCTCGATGGATTAAAGTTGTCCAGGTCGGATGCTTTGGAGAAACTTCTGGGCTCAGGTACGTTGTGGTCTTATAACAAAAATTAACCGTAATATTTCCCCCCCCCCCCCTTCCCCGCATAAAAAAAATAATCAAAAATTGGAGGATTTCACGGGATTTTAGTAGGTGGGTAATTTTGGCTTGATGCTTAATTCCAGCTCATAGGATTTTGGAAGCTCAAATGCCTCTGGAATTGTTAGGGTAAAGGAAACAAGTATGAACCAATCTGAGAAAACAAGTATCATAGATTAAAACAAAATTAACCCTTGGCTTACTTTTTTTTCAAACTTAAAAGAAAAGTTTTGTACAAGCTTTTAAAAAAAAGCAACAAATGTAAATCAACTCGAATAAATATTTCCTTATCTTCACAACAATACAGTGATAACCTTCAGAGATCTTTATAATTTAAAAAAAAATAAAAATATTTAACCAAACTGAACTTCAAACTAAATGTGTTATTAAACCAACCAGGCTCATTGTGCAGTATAGAGTCACTGTCATTGGCTGGCTGTGCACTACAAGACTCAGACCTAGCACCAATCACAGCTGCTGTTACAGAGGGCTTGGCCATTCGGTCCCTCAAGCTGTCGGCCAATAGAATCACGGATACTGGAGCGGGTAGCCTGATGGAGGCCTTTGTAGCGAGAGGTGCTGAGTGTCCTCTGGCAGAGTTGAATTTAGCTAATAATCAGGTGAGATGGAATGTAAAGAGACCAGTCATTAAGCTCCTCCTATAAAATTGTGAAATTTCTTGCCAACTCTTAATTTGAAGCGGTTGTGGGGGTACTTATGCACGGAGTCTATTGATGTCAATTCGGGCGATTCACAATGCAGTGCACCACCAAGAGTTTGCCACGGAGAGTCCATTTTTCAAGTTTACAGTCGACAAAACATGGCCCATTTGAATGAGTGTCAGTAGACAACTTGAGATAATTTGTAATAGATTGGGCATAACGTTCTGCCGCCTTACAAAAAACACCATGATGATGAAAAGAAAAGAAAAGGGCAAACAGATACTTCAATCGTACGCTTACGAAACTACTGACCGGAAAAACAAACAATTTCAAATGTCCCGCGTTGCAAATTTGTCGACTATCTCCCACAATGCACTGGGAAAAATGAACTCTCAGTGGCAAACTCTTGGTGGCGCACTGCATTGTGAAACGCCTGAATTAAATTTGGCTCATTCTATAGTGGACTCCATTCACAAGTGCCCCTACAACAAGGAAAGAAAATCTTTGCTTTTCTTTCTTTTCTATACTAGCATTCACTGGTCTACTTTGAAAACTTTTTAAAGGCTTTCTCAGCCATGCTTGCAGTGGTAGGGAAAGTGAGCTAAGGCAACTTTTAGTTTGTAATTTTTCAGTGGTTTGTGATTTTGTTTCCGATCTTAAGATCCGTGACGGCTGCGCAGAAACTGTGTCCAAGTTGATCAGCACGGCACCCAGACTTCACTCACTGCTCTTGGGACACAACGCCCTCAGCGGGGCCAGTCTCAAGACAATACTGGCCTCCCTGTGCACCATGGATTCTACAAGCCTCAGAGTTCTTGATCTGTGCAGTCAGGACTCCCAGGTGGATGAAAGCGAAATGGAGGAATTACTCAGCTTGGTAGCTGAAAAATTGGGTGAGGACATTTTATATCTTGAATACTGTAGATTTAATTGATTTTGGTGCCGTTTTGAACCAACAAGCTAATCCAGTAAACTTGGTGTATATTTTTTAAATGTATTTGAAAGGCTACAGGATGGATGAGGCTGAGGGTGTCAAACGGTGTGGTACAAGCCCCCTACCCTGCCACCCCCAGGGGCTGACAATCAACCTGACAGGGCTGGGGGGCTCTGGGGAGACAGGCCAAGCCCTGGACAGTCTGGCGGTCAAGACAGACTACGTGAGGGTACAGCGACCATGGCTGGCACTGCAGCATTCACTGGAGATTTCTGATTGGCTGAGAGGGTCGCTTTCATCAGGTATGAAAGGCAGTGATTGGCTGAAAGTAAACCTGCTTGATTTAGCCGATGCCGTGTTGAAAGTCTCTCAAGCAGCTAAAAGCAACTCACTATTAATACTGCAGGAATGGAAAGTGAATAAAACAAAAACCATGTGCAGTTATAAAGAGAAAGAGAAATCTTGAAAATTCACTTAAAATGAGATAAGACAGAGTTCCAAGAATTGCTTGATTCAAGTTTAGGCATTTGGCAAATGTTTAATTATGGAATTAAAAATCTTTTTGTTAGTCCTGATTTGTGTGCTGTGCATAAAGTAATGATGAATTATTAAAGGTGTATGTTTAATTCTTGGTTTTGACTGCTGTAATAATGGCATATTTTCAAAGTTGTTTATTATGAGACATTTTAATATCTTCATATTTACACACACGTATTACATTTTACTAAAATGCTTTGATGACTTGAAGCAGTGTCAGATGCACCTGACCACACACTCAGACAAAATAATTTGGTGTACAGAGTAATTTGTTTCCCTGGAGCATGATCTCTTGAGTCTTCATAAAAGCAATGTGATTCTTCCAACAGAATGTAACGACGACTCAGATTGTGGCCAGTGCAGCTTGACGTCAGTTGAGTGGTGTCAGGTTCTAGGCTTACCAAAGGACCCCTCGCTACCCTCATGGCTTCAGGTAATTATCTAAAATTAATAGAATCCAGAACTTTACTTGATCCCTGTTATCCATCATTCATCAGATGGAAAGAAGGGGGGGGGGACCACAACAGCTCAAATTACCTCCATTTCAGAGGGAAGCTCTTCAGTCAAAAGTCGTTATAATGCCAAGGAAATTCTGTCATAGATTGCATCGAAATTCTTAGATTACTTCTATTTCTTGTTTGTGAGGGCAACAAGAGTGTTTCGTTTTAGTTTTACAAATATTAGTACTTGACGTGATTTTCGGGATGGTATGTTTTGCAGAATGTTAGTGCTCAACACAACTGTTCCAAAATTTAGGAAGAAATGGCGAGAGAAGATTTTTGGAAAAAATATCAACAGTTTGGCCATTCTGACAGGAACATTTCCATTAATGATTCTGCATTTAAAATGTCTAATTCTATAAAAAAAAAAAAGGAAATGGAAAACCAAGTAGCTGTGAGATTTGCAATATTTGAAAGAAAAAACACTGATAATTAAACTTCTTCATGTCTTTGATCAATTAATCAATATGTAAGAGAAACTTGTGAATCATTTACGTATGTCCTGTTTGTAATTTTTTGCATTGCTATTTGCCAGGTGTCCGAGCATCGCTCCAGAGCGGTGTACTTGACTGGACTATCAGGAGGCGTGTCAGCCGGCAAGCTGGAGGGTGATCTGGAGTCAGAGGCTGACTGTCTCGTCAAGGAAGTCTGCATCATGAAGGTAGGCTAAGGGTCAGAGGTTAATTGAGGCGGGTGGGAAACAAGTAGGGTAGAGAAGGGGAGGGTGGGGCTGAGATGGTGAAGTGATGCCTGTCGGGGTGAATCAGGGGGCGTGTCAGCTGGCAAGCTGGAGGGTGATCTGGAGTCAGAGGCTGACTGTCTCGTCAAGGAAGTCTGCATCATGAAGGTAGGCTAAGGGTCAGAGGTTAATTGAGGCGGGTGGGAAACAAGTAGGGTAGGGAAGGGGAGGGGTGGGGTTGAGATGGTGAAGTGATGCCTGTGGGGGTGAATCAACTGGCAAGCTGGAGGGCGGTCTGGAATCGGGGGCTCCACGCCTCGTCAAGGAGGTAGGCATTATGATGGTAGGCAAAGGGTCAGTATTCAATTGAGGATCTAGGAAGGGGAAGAAATAAGTAGAGTTGGGGACAGGAGGGGTTGAGATGATAAAGTGACTGGGCTCTCTGGAAAGATGATCTGGAATCAGAGATTGTATGCCTCTTCAGGGAAGTCTGCATCATCAGGGGTTGATTTAGATGGTGGTGGAGGATGAGGGGTTGGTGCAGGAGAAGAATTGACATGGTAAGCAGACTGGGTACGGGTGGGAGGGGGGTTGGCTGGATAGATGTACAACGATCTGGAATCGAAGACTGGTTGCCTCATCAACATTTCGAGAAGGTTGAGAGAGGAGGTGCTTGGTCGGTAACCTCTGTGTGTACTTGTGGGGTAAGATGTTGTCAGATGGTGAGGTGGTATTGTGCAACATAAAGATTTTGTGCAGATGGATCTAAAATGGAATAAAAGTTTAGTCAGGATGAGTGTGGGAAGGTCAGTATCGACTTTCAGTATTGACTTCTTATATTCTTCTTCACACGTTCCCTTCCATTAACAGCCCCCCCCCCTTTGCCCTAGAAGACACACCCACACTCACCAGCTCCACCGCTACCAACACCATGATGACATCCAGTTTAATACATCTTTTATTGACACTGTATTTGAATTGAGGCTCAACATTTCGAAACTGTTTTTGAACAAACACGAGGTACCAAAATTATTATTCTCGTTACAATTTTTTTACTGTAGGATTTCATTGTGAGGCAGCCTAACGGGATAGCCTGGGTGTTGATGGCTGATGACTCCTCGGTTCAGAAGGCCCTGGAGTTCTTCCACGAAGGAAAAGTATGAGACTGTTGACTCGTGATCTGAACCTGTAGTGAAATAGACTGATACGTTAAACCCCAACCTGTGGTGGTTTGAGCAATCTCAGATGTGACTTGCTCAACCAAACGTCCGACAAAAAGGCAGATATTGGTGCATTAATGCATGCCATGCGCAGCTGGAAGGTACAGTGCAAACTTAGAGCATGGGTGTCGCGAGGGGGGGGGGGCAAGAGTAGGCGCTTGCTCCTCCCCCCCCCCCCCCCCCCCCCGAGAGAAAAAAAAGACAAGGTGCAAGGTCATTGTTGTATTTATAATGTAACACTCGAAACCAGCTGAAAGGGGCTTAAAATGCAGCTATACACCACTGACCTATAGGTATCACGGTCTTGAACGAAGCGTCGAGTGATGTCCAGCACCACCTCTCCTTTCGATTTTTCCACGGCTGGTTATTTCTCTCTTGGCTGTTTCCCCCCAAAAAATAAATAAATCTTGGCGACACCCATGGGTGCTAGGTTTGTTTCCCAAATAAGGGAGCGGGGCTTATGACCAAACTCAGAATCGTCCTTTAGTAAATACAATCCTGTATTTATAGTCTATAATCAAAAGATTTCAGTTTACTGGTTGAAAAGAAATGAAAAGAAATGAAAGTTATGCATTTATCCCCCCCCCCCCTCCATCAACCCTCAGGCTCTTATGTTCAGCCAACCCTACGTGATATCCCAGGTCAAGCTGTCCGTCATAGCTAGTGATTCAAAGGAAGAGGATCTTACAAAAGCAAGGTGAGTAACTGGCTCTGATGGACTTTCTGAAGGATTTCAGCATATCTCTCATTGAGATTTGTGTTGTAGCGAACGATTAAGATTCAAAAATATATGGCACATTAGCAGGATAAGTAGGGTTTTTTTGTCCAGTAGTACTTGTTTTCGTTCTTTTCCATAATACTTTGTCCATCAATTATACTTGATCATAAGTCTTGTTAGTGTCCAAGAATGAAGAAATTTGGAAATCACCAACTTTGGACAAGAAAAAGAAAATTTCGGATATAGGATCCAAAATTTATCCCCTCGTTTTTGGTACACTGTGATATTTATTCTCCTGTAGAGTTGATCTGGAGGCAAGGGCTCAGGAAGCGGCAAGGGAAAATGCAGAGCACCGTGCTCTGTTAGCATCAAGCTACCAAGCTTCTCAAGAGAGACATGAGTACGCCAAAGCCAACCCAGCCTATGCTGATGGAAGGATCTGGTGATTGAGAGTAAGAGATTCAGCTAGGAGACGGAGCGAACCACTCAGTCACACCCTGTCAGCATCCAGCTAACTCGCCTCTCGAGAAAGACAAGAGTATGCCAAAGCCAACCTGGACTATGCTGATGGAAGGATCTGGTGGTTGAGAGTTAGAGATTGGGCTAGGAGACAGAGCAAACCACACCCTGTTAGCATCCAGCTTAAACGCCCCTCAAGAAAGACAAGAGTATGCCAAAGCCAACCCGACCTATGCTGATGGAAGGATATGGTGATTGAGAGTAAGAGATTCAGCTAGGAGACAGAGCGAACCACTCAACCACACCCTGTCAGCATCCAGCTAACTCGCCTCTCGAGAAAGACAAGAGTATGCCAAAGCCAACCTGGACTATGCTGATGGAAGGATCTGGTGGTTGAGAGTTAGAGATTCAGCTAGGAGACAGAGCGAACCACTCAACCACACCCTGTTAAAATCCAGCTAACACACCTCTCAAGAAAGACAAGAGTATACCAAAGCCAACCTGGACTATGCTGATGGAAGGATCTGGTGATTGAGAGTTAGAGAATGAGCTGGAAGACACAGCGAACCACACCCTCTCAAGAAAGAGGCGTGTTTTGTGTTTGAGTGTGATTGTAAGCTGTTTTGATAAATTGTTGTGGATTTGTTCTTGTCTTTTAAACTGTTTTTAACACACGGGGTGTTGATTTTCATGTTTTTAATCATGATGGTTAATAATAAATTGAATAAATTGAATTGAAATTGAATTGAAGACATGAGTATGCCAAGGCCAACCCAGCCTCTGGTGTTGGAAGGATCTGGTGATTGAGATTTAGAGATTTAGCTAGGAGATGGAGACAACCACACCCTGTTACCATCCAGCTACCAAGCCTCTCAAGAGAGGGAAAGGAGGATGCTGCAAGTCCCACCCAACCGTAGACAAAGACAGCCACACCCTGAAGTTACCTGAAGTTTAGACATGCCGCCCCATTGGACATGTGCTGATGAAAGGATCTGATTTTGAGATTCAGAGATGCTGTTTGTAGACGCTCAGAGAACCACAACCTTTGAGCATTCCAGGGAAGGAGATTTCTAGATTTCTAGAACACGCAGTTTTGAAATCGGTATCGTTTTAGAAGATGAGAAATGTTTCCTTTTATATACATGATCAGTGTATTATATTTGAAGTGGGTTTGATATTTTGTGCAATGCTATGCAAGATTTTAGGTTTGGAGGTACAGGTCCCAGTTTTCCATTGACCAAACCTAAGTCCAGCTATGATATGTTGGGAAATTAAATATTATATTTAAACCAACTAATTGATTTTTAAATATGGACTAAAGATTTGCTTGCCTTTTTTTAGATTAAAGGTTTGGTAGTTTCAAACAATTTTATAGATCTATGCATAGTTTAAAAGTACTTGTCATCCGTCCAAACGAATGTTTTCAGTGAAATATTTCCCCAAATTTCCATTTTTGTAACAGTATATTTGATATATACATGTATATCGGATTTTATTTTAGTTCAATTGCAGTTTCAGAGAGTTCCATATTAAATTATATTATTTAAGGTAATGATGTCATACAGTCTATATTAATTTTATATTAATATATAACAATAACAATATGGATTTGAATAACACACATATCAACCAAACAGGTTATCACGGTGCACCCCGGTGCACCCCCAATATTGTTATTACCCCTGCTCACCGGGCCTATGGAAATATTCCAAAAACCATCTCAGCTCTCTGGGGAGTACATGTATATACAGCTCCATCTGTCATATCGGTGCAATCAGCTAAAATCAAAACACATGACCATCGCTAGGGTACCCATTCACTCCTGGGTGGGGAGAAGCAATGACTGACAAAGTGTCTTGCCCAAGGACATACACACCACACCCCAAGGCTTGTCTCGAACCCACATCCGGCAGAATTAAGAAGTTGGGATGGGCCACTTTGAACCCCCTTCACAGTTAATTTGTGTATTTGTATATTGGCATTTCGGAAACAATATCCGTATACGTTGTGGTTATCTCAAAGGAGTATCATTTGATGTTTTAGTTTAATAGTAACAATGAATGCACACGAGATTCATGCCTACCCAAAAGATACCAATCCATTGCCCTCAAACGCCGCCTTAACGCATGACCTCTGTAGCTCACAGTGCCGTGTTGTCTCCGTTTCAAACTGAACTTCTTGGAGAAAGTTGTGCATGCACCTCGTCCGCAGCGATCCATCAACGCCCGAGCCGAATCCCCTTGGGCCGTGATCGGGCGTCATGAATTTGTCACGCTGAAATCGAACTACATTTATCTCTTTTTATGGAGGAATAAGAACTTATTCCTCCATGCTCAGTTCATGTTAATGATGTGCAGGTACGGTCTCTAGCCGGCTTGTCTAGACAGTAGCGGTTCGGGGGGGGGGGGGGGTGGCGTCCAGCCGCTGACTAATGTTTTGAAACTAATAAAATGGGGCCAAAAATAATATATGGAATGCTAAAGTTCCTAAATTTATTCTCAAATTCCCATAGAATGAAGGAGAAAGCATCGTAGATTTCAAAATTATCCCGTGGCAACCCTCGGCCTGGATCCCCTAGCAAGTCGTGCTTGTGCCCAACAACACCCACTCAACACCCACTTCCTTCATATCACCCCCCCCCCCTGTGTCCTGAAAGCTCCGCCCCTGCTTGATAATAACATTCTTGCGATCCAGTTAGGATAATCCGTGAGCTTCCTATCATTCTGCAGGGCCCGGATTTTACGGAGCTGCTAAGTGGGGGTAAAATGCTCAGTATTTTTTTCTCGTTAAAAAAAGAAGTCAGCTCAAGAAGTCAGCTCAAGAAGTTCCTAAGCACGGAAATATTTGCTTAGTAGCAACTACTAGGTTACCAGCTAAAATCAGTGTTGTCGCCGAGACCTAGTCCGAACATTTTGGGACTCTCACTACTGTGTGCCCACATTAAAAACGTACAATACAAGAAAATAGATTGGCACCTGAAACAACCAGTACAACAACATCTTCAGTGCTGCAACAATCAACTGTGCCAAAAGAAACATCTGGCATGTCTGGTACTGGTCTCTATTTTTACACATTTCTCCTTAGCCATCAGACCAATGAAGAGGTCAGTCTTTTCAAACGGTTGGACCATGGTTGGACATGTACCATGTAGTATGTCTACCCTCTCAGGTGCAAAATGTTGAAGAAAAGTCTCCTTTAAAAATTGAATTGAGACTCCAAACTTGGTTGGCGCATGGAGGAATTCCTCCATGGTTGATGAAATACTGAGGACCTTGTCCTTTGCCTCAAGAAAATCTTGGAAAATGTCAGCCAAAGAGTGAGTACTGTATGGCCTGATTTTGTATTGCATGTTTTTCAGCACTCAAAGTCCACGTCTGGTCGAGACCCCGCAGGATCATCACAAGCCCAACACAAAACCTCCAGACTCCAGTCTCGTTGCCAATGAACTCCTGCAAGGGCATTCCTTTGTCATTGTTTTTGCCCTGTTACTTGTGGTCGGTCTTGCCCAAGCAAGCGGTGGGTACAATCGTAGTGCCTGCTCTACAATAATTGACTGGTCCTGTGATGTCTCGAGTCTCGACTACAACACTGGCAAAATGTCATGCGATGTGTGCTCCTCAACTCTCATGACGGGTTCTAATTAGCCGATTTTTGCTTAGTGCATAAGCTTGCTCAGTGCATAAGCTTGCTAAGCTTGCACACCAAGGATTTGGCTTGGGGGAGGGGGACTGACATTTTTTCCCGCAAAAATGTGTTGCCCCAAATTTTTGGCCGCAGAACAATTTTTTCTTGGGGGGACGGACTATTTTGACGTTGGTGGCGCCGTATTACACCCCTATTATACTTTCTCGAAAATAGGCCGCATACATAGCACCGCCGTCAAATCGTGAGACAAAAAGAACAAATTGCCCCCAGCCCCCCCCCCCCCCCCCCCCTTGGGTACGTGCGCCACTGTGCTCAGCGACAATTTTTCTACGAGGCTGCTATTAAGTGCTATGCAAATTGGTCGTGGTCCGTATTCAACACATGACAGGTATGGCTGGTATTAAACCTAATTTTTTGGGGGGGGGGGGGGCATGCAATTTTGCAAATATATTTAAGGCTTAGCAAATATCTTTGGCTCAAGCTGCCTCAGTCTGTTTCCGAGCCTTCTACTAGTCGTGACTCCAGACGCCAGACAAATCTCACAGTCTGCTCATCCCATGGCTATCGTGTATGAGACATGTCAGCAATTAATCTTTGTGACACATTTTTTGGGAGGCTAGGTGCGTGCTTGGACACTTTTGATGACCAATCGTCCTGAAGTAATAGGTTTTCCGTCTCATTGCAGATTGATAATGTGATAAAGTGATATTTAAGCAAGTCAAGTCTATTGATATCTGCTTATAATGTTTCAGTGCAGTTAATAAGTCATTAGTCTGGTTCAGAAAATTTGACCCATGTGGGACTCGATCCCTGGGCCTGTGGATCTGTCCACAACACGGACATATTAATCTCAATCATTAGGGTTCTTTTCATAAAACCAATGAGATAGATACCAGTCAGAATCCGAACTCAAAACTACTTTATCAACCCTCCATTTACATTATGAGTAAACGAAGGCTTTCGCCCTTCATTTTTTCCCCTATACTCATATGGTAGTTTATATTACATTGTTCGTCGTAGATTTTTCATCATTTATAAAATCTTCGACTTATCTTAAAACTGAACATACAATCTTCAGACAACCGAACCTTTTGAGCGATTTCTTTTCATTGCAAGGAGTTCAATGATTGCTGAACGAAGAGAGAGTCTTCGTTGTGGACTAGTTTGATCAATCGCCTGATTTCAGCCTTTTTTTCCTTCAAAATGTAAATAACACTTTGGCACCGTCCAGGTGTGGATAGTTTTCCTTTATACCTGAAATGAAAGGCAAAAATGTCAAAATTTCACACATCCCTGAACATCTGAAGAAACTCACGAGAAATATAATTTCAAATATAATTCTCGGCCTCTCGACAATTTAGAGAAAGTGTTACGTCGTAGTTGTCTCACTAGTCCCGCCCTATAGCAAGGATGTATAGTTTTTTTCCCACAAGCTCTCATGAAGACGGTGAAGGGCAAACTCTCCTCTTCAACCAGGCACTTATCCAAGTCCACATTCAATTGGTCCGCATCATGAAAACACCTTTTATTAAAAACGTGCGTGTCAATAAAAGATCGTCTTCACATTTTAGCTGCCGGCCTGAGGCTGGAATGGATCGTCTTCAAAAAGAGCGACCTTTTTATAGTTCTTTTGTTTTATGAGACGTTTGTAGACTAATTGCACCTTCGAGGGATCTTTGAAGCCCACTATTCTAGACACTCCAAAAAATGGCGTCACGACACTGCAGAATGTTTTAGCTCGAAGTTGCCACAAGGGATTCAAATTTGCAGTTTATGAATGTCTTTTTGAATGTCATTTAAGTCTTGCCTGGATCGAATCTTAACGCCACCAACGATGATTTCATTTCCAATGCAGAAGCGTTGCAGGCCTCGCCTATCTACGAAGTATCTGGTATATTTTATTCGTGTAGTATATGGGAAGGCCAGATTGGTAGTGTGAATTCCTCTGTTGGCACATCTACTTTGAGATATTAAATTGTCCTGGAAGAATCAATGCATATCTGCAAGTCACGAATTGATTGGAACAGGCGCGATCCGTAATTGCCAGTCATTTGTAAGAGGTTTTTCTTGAGAACTTCCTGATGAATGATGGCCTCAATACTGATTTCCTCCATCTATCGTCAGACGGGGGAATGGCAAATTGGCAAAACATCATGGTCGCCCAGAACTAAAATGGGTTCATGACTAGAATTTAAAGTGGGCGTTGCTTACGCGAGGTTTGCTAATTGGAGTTATTCAGTGGATTGATTGCTATAGCACGGAGATATCTTTATGGCCTTTATTTAATATGTTGGACAGTTTGAATCCTCGATTTTGAAAAGTATACTGACTCTTTTTAAACCACTTGACTGTTCAATTCGTTCGGGATTACCGTTCAGTTTTAGAAGAGGAACATCCAGCATTAATTGTCGCTATACTTCTACTTCACGGGCCTGTAATTATAAGTGCTTGCATACGATCAGGATCATGCTCTCTAAGGCTGTCTCGCACCTGGTCTAGTCTCGTTACGTCTGCGTCTGGCATGATTGACAGGCAGCAGCAGTCTATAACAAATCTTGAAGAAATAAACCTAAACAGCATTTTCATCTGGTTGAATAGCCCAAAATCATCATAACTATGAGCTATGCTGCAGGGATTAATGCGCGTCTCTCTTTAACGTGGACTGATATAGCTGGGGATCGCATGTAGTAAAACTATCCTAAGTTCAAGGAAGCAGACAATCCGACTGAGAAACCTAACTCTTGATGGTAAAACCATGCAGGGCTGATCATTTTGTTGGTCATACTTCTTTTCCCGGGTATGGCTCTTGTATTATTATGTCCTGAGGTACATTCAGACACCTAGCAGTCTTGACTGTAAGGCGATGCCGTGGCTGCCCCAAAGCGCCTGTTTAATTGTCGACATTCT